TGACAGTCATTGGTTGCTAGAACGGTAGCGTCATTGGTTGCTAGGATGCTAGTGACTGGGCTGCACAGAATCATTGGTTGCTAGGATGCTAGTGACTGGGCTGCACAGAATCATTGGTTGCTAGGATGCTAGTGACTGGGCTGCACAGAATCATTGGTTGCTAGTGACTGGGCTGCACAGAATTATTGGTTGCTAGTGATGCTAGTGACTGGGCTGCACAGAATCATTGGTCGCTAGGATGCAGGTGGACACATCATCAAAACCAATGATGTTGTTGGGTCACCATGGTCTAAGCAAACAATGATGCTGCGTGGGTCATTGGTTGCCAAGACTCCGGCATCCCCATGTCATGGTGCGCCCACCTACATCCCAGCATTCAACGATGCTGTGCGGCTGAGCCGCCAGTCAAGTGTCATCGATTGCCAGAAAGCAGACAGATGTTCGGCGGGCAGGCATGTTCTCCCAGTGCTTGAATGAGTTTCCTCCCACACTCCAAAGACATGCTGTTAAGATAATTGGCCCCTGTGTAAATTGTTCCTAGTATGTATGTATGTATGTGGGATAGAGGCATTAGATTGGAAGCTCTTTAGTTTGCACTGATGTGAATGTACAGTATATCATTGCGTACATTGATGGCGCAGTATAAATACTTCTATAATAATAATAAAAATAATAATAATGCTTGGATGAAAATCTATATATTGAACAGAAGTGACACTGAGTATTTCATTCTGCGGCTAACACCTTTACAAAGGAGTCTGTCACTTACATTTCATACAGCTATACAGCTATACAGCCACCTCGAGTATCCTCTCATAACAATAAGCCAAGTACTCTTATATGGTGTTCATATCACAATCTCTTTTATTTTCTTTTTCTTTCCCATAGTTCTCCTAAGGGTAACGGGAGGACACAAACTAGCGTCCTCCCGTCACCCAAAGCACAGTATACCCCGAGCGACAGCTCGCGGTATTCTGAGACGCCGCAGCTGAAGCGGATGCCGACAATTATGTCTGGATCCGCCTAGCTGCGAGAGTGACAGCTGGCTCTGCCTATCTAGAGGCAGAGCCAGCTGTACCCGCCCCCTCCGCCAGTCAGCGCTGGAGGATCGGACAGGGGAGGGGGAAATCCAGCCCCTCCTCTGTCACGGCAGAGAGCCGTGATAGGATCGAGAAGTGAGCGAACGCTGGTACCCAGATAGCAAGGATAACTTGCATCAAACTTGTGCCAGGGTGAAAATTGTAATTTTGCTAACTTGCTGCACACGTTCCTGGCAAGTTGTAGACTCGCAGAACACTCGCAGCACAAGTTCTAGTTGACACTTTTTGAATTTGAAGCAAATTTGCTTAGCAAGTCTACAGCAAGAGTCCTGCAGGTCTTAGCAAGAGCTCTGCAAGCTCGCTGGTCTGGAGACTTGCAATGCAGACTCGCTGTAATCGTGCAACAAAATTGTGAAGCTCGGCAAGTCTGCAATAGTTTAGCAAGTCATTTTCAAACTTGCAGCTCAATTGCTTGCTATCTGGGTATGTGTTCGCTCACCTCCCGATCTACTGAGCCGACCTGTGACAGTCTCATTGTCAGAGGTCGGCTAGAACTATGCGGATGAGTGAAAAGCACTCACCTCATAGTTCTCCTTTAATTGTTCTCGAAGGTGCACATTAGCGGAAGCTAGCACTTGTGGATACAATCGTACATACAATGTAATATTAAAGCCGGAGTGGCAGCCCTTTGACGCGTTGAAGGATCGGGATTACAAATATTACTGTGTATGTGATACAACACTGACCGATGAGCTCTTATGAGGCATCTATAGAACATATCATCTGCATTAGCCTCTTATGAAGCTCTATATAGAGAATAGCTGACATCGGCTTAATTTAATAGGAAGCATTGTAGGACTTTATGTTGGATCTTTTTCTATATGCCATCAAGGATTACAAAGTAACGTTGTGCTTTATAGGTTTTTTTTCTGTTTGCATGTTGGCCCAAGCAGAATTTTAATGCACGGGACATTACACAATGTGATATTTCACATTAATGCAAAGCAACTGTGTCCTATGGAACCCCTTACCCCAATCTGTCCGCCTATATCCTACGCTGCCCACCTATAGGCGATCCCTAAAAACCCATCTCTTCAGGGAAGCCCATCTCATCTCAACATAACTGCCTCTTACTTCCTCCAATAACTCAATCTAAACAATTATTACCTTTTGTATCACTTGCCCCTCCTACTACAATGTAAGCTCTCACAAGCAGGGCCCTCCTAACCCTATTGTTCTGAAACTGTATTGTAAATTGTATTGTAACTGTACTGTCTCCTCCATTTTGTAAAGTGCTGCGCAAATTGTTGACGCTATATAAATCCTGTATAATAATAATAATAATAATGTTTGCGACAATCTTATTCTTCGCAACTAAAAGTGCACTAGGGGAAAATAGTAGGGATGCACCGATACTTTGAGTACCAATGCCGATACTTGGCATTTTCATGAGAGCTACCAGGGTTGCAGCTGGGACCGGGCTCTGGCGCTCCACCACTGTCCTGAAATCATTAGTCGGTATTGTTTTAGAAAAACTGTCACATGACAATAAACAAAAATGTATCAGTACTTGCAAAACTGGTATCGGTGCATCACTTATATATATGTTTATAGAAACAAAATCATACATTAAAACAGAGATGTACAAATCCCGGGAGCTCCGTGTGCTCCTTACAAGTGACAGCGGCCTCCTAACTTTTAAATGTTTCTCTAGTCTAGTCTCGGAGCTGGAAAAGTATCGGTACATGTACTGAGTACTGTACTTGGTATCAGTGCATCCCTAGAAAATAGTAATAAATATGAGATCATTTTAGCATGGACTTAGCTCAGAATGGTTCAGAAGTTCGTGTTCTTCTTTTATGCACATTTGAGATATCTGTATGTTAGATTGCTTTAGAGATGAATAGCAATAAAGAAGTCACGTCTTGCCAATAGTGCACGGAGAGTCAAAAACTCTATTCAAAATGATCTTTCTTGCAGCAATGCAAACGGAACCCTTCCACGCTCTATCCTAAACTAAAAACAACAACTTTTGGGTATACATACGCTCTACTCTTTATACCTAATAAAGAGTAGAGTGATTCCTTAATAAAAGCCTCCTAACCAATTATTTGCGGTCATCATCTATCTCAATAGTTTTCAGCATTGGGTGGAAAGGAGAAAGTTTTGTTCACTCTTCAGTAACTCAAACATCCTATTACTTTATCTACAGCACATTCTCCAAAGATCCAGAAAGATAATTACACCTCACAAGACATTCATTAACTGGTTGGAGTTCCCCTTTTTCCCTCATATTTCTTCCTCCCTTTGCTGTGCCCTTCCAATTTTTAAGTTGGTGACCATTGTTGTACAACGACAAGAAAGGCCAGACGAAACCTTGCACTGATCTCATTGCAACTGCAAGAGTTGACACTGGAGCAGTGAGGCACAATCACTCTGCAGGTTTACTAAGCCAGAAGCAGGGGATGCATATGTAAGGAGCACATAGGGTTTCCCATATATTAAAGTCACATGCATCTCTAAAGAAATATTAAAGGGCCAATTCACACTGGTGCACTTCAACGCTTAGCGTTATGCAAATCTACATATCAGCGGGAGGGGTCCAAGCGACCCCCCTGACCTACATTGAGTAGGTCCCAATGGGACCTTGTGCAGATGCAAAGTCTGCCGCTAATCTGTGCTATCTGGACTTTGGGCCTGAGAGCCAAACAAGCAGACTAGATTTGGCTAGACAAAAGTGAAGAACCACTTTAAATGGCAAAAGATAAAATGGCTTTATCACCTGACTACTCTTTTGGGTGAAAAGGCAATCAATTTTTTGTGCTGACCTCTGAAACTGTCTTATTGTACAGGATCTGGAGTATGTTGCAGGGCCCGCCTCCCTGTCTCTCAACTGCTCAGAAGGGGTCTGGAGAACAGAGCCCCTGCCTCGGTGCCGAGTGCCCAGGGCCACACCGGGCAACCTCTGCTAAACTTGCATTTATGCTACCCCTGGAGTTTGGATATGGTTGCCCTTATGACCTAAATGGTTGACCTGTTTACAAAGTCTAAACTTGTAAGAAGTGCAGTAACCCTTTAAGTAAGTTAGATCTCCAAGATGTTGGTCCTCTGGAGTTTAACACATTTTGCTTATGGAATGCTCTCATATCAAGATGGGCAACATAGACACGAGCCCGGACCTAAATTGAACATTGTATCGGTTGTCCGACGAGTAAAAGATGACCTCTGGCTGGCTGTTAAGACTTATGGCACTGAAAAAAACCTTAGGGCCTTCAAGAACATGTTTTCTTACTAAGAACATCTGATGCATGGACCCTAATAAAAGTTAGGTCTTATATTTCTACATTGGGAGACCCGTTCTAACACACCTAAACACCTTAGCCATTTTAAGAAAAATCGACCAACATTTTGATTTCTAGCCAAGAAGGACCTTTTGACATCACCAGGCTGTCTTATCTTGGGGATGATGTCATCAGTCCCTAGCCAATTGGAAGGCTGCAGTTTTATGAAGATTGATTTAGCTGCCCTCCCCCTTTCCATTGTAAGTAATTACTCTAGCTATAATTTTAGGTCATTGTGTATCTCATGATCCATTGCTTAGTCCGACACCCGGTTAGTAAACACTAAAATAGGATAGCACGGTTTCACTGCTTGCCTGGTATGAAACCTCCATCATTGTCACAGTGAAGAGAAAAAACACATAGGTAAGATTTCACAAAAACCGTTACATTAAAACCTATGGTATGTATGGCAAAAGCTGTGAGTCCCTTTGGATTTATTAGAGAGCCCTATGGATGCAACACACATAGAATGCCAACCAGGAGGTGAAGACCTGTCTAGACTGAACAATTAGGAAGAAGCGGTACAACATTAGAAACTGATGGGACGGTGGGGTTTGGTACTATGAGGCACAGGAACAGCCATGTGTACAAATACAGAAGGTAAAATGTTCTACTGTACCCTTAAGATGTCCTCGTCCCAGGGTCACAAAGCCAGACGAGATGAAGTTATGTAGGTCAGGCCCTCCGCTCCGGTAGATGTCTTTTCCGTAGTGTCCTGCTGGGAGAAAGCAGACAGTCAGACGTGGTTTGTGAAGTCGGATGGAAAGTTGGAACCCTCCAAAACGTAATAGGAAATGAGGGAAAAAAAAAAAAAAAAAAAATCTGGAGCTGCCGTTGGCGACTCATTTTAATTGATTTATTGAATCTGGGACGCCACAGCTCATGAGGCGCAGCTTAGGCTTTGCAACAATTCCTTTGTTCTTTACAGAAAAAGGTTGTTCCTCTCATACCCTACCCCAATTTGGAGAACCAGGGTATACCTCCTGGGTTATCGCTGGAGAAGCTAGCATCATGAGTAAGATAGCTATGATACAGCTGAGATGGACAAGGGTTTGTAGCCCTCCAAATGGTTGGGTTCATGTGTTTCCAGTGAAGGGTGCTGCTAATGCATTTTAGACAAATGTGAGCTTCTAAACTTGTGATCACAGTTTGGTGAAGACCATTTTTTTGTTCCACCATGACTGTCCCCTGTGCACAAAGCCAGCTCCCTAAAGACATGGTTTGACCAGCTTGGCGTGGAGGAACTCGATTAGCTTAATCAGAGCCTATTTAAATTGGATGAATTAGAAAGTGGATTGTGAGTCAGGTCTTTAAGACCACAACGTGACCTTGCAAATGTCCTTTAGGCTAAAGGGGTACCAAGTCCTACAGACATACTCTACAGCTTTCCTAGAGTGGAGGCTGTTATAGCCGAAAAAGGAACGGAGGGTGGTGCATGCTAATGTCCATGGTCTTGGAATGTGATGCCCATCAAGCTCATATAGGTGTGATTGAGTCGGGTGACCACAAACTTTGGCCATAACATATACCTCTCAGGGTCATGCTGCCTATGCATGTCCCACCATCGCATCAAGTCCCACCATCGCATCAAAGTAGAGAAATCTGAAGGGCTTTACAACACTGCAAGCTCCATCAATATTGCTTCATCTCTTACTTTGTAGGGAGGCTGGGATGAGGATGGAGGCTCTTGCACATTTAAAAGGGCAGCTCATATATTTCTGTTCATATCAGGTTTCCTTAAAATCCACCAAGAGGGAATTAAATGAATTGCCGACTTAGGCTCAGATTTCTCAAGCCAAGGTGTACCTGGACACCAACTGGCATCTGTTTCTGTGGAACTAGTAGACTTCCTCCCAATCCTTATTATGTGGTGAGTTATCGGTTAGATACACAGGGCTGGAGAAGAGAGCTGTCCCCTGACTTCCAAGAGCACAGTCTAGATTCTGCACTGCCCTGGAAGTAGTCTATGGTCCACCCATCAGAGGAAGTCGGCTTCCATCATAAGCTTATAAAACAGGTATTAAGCTGTGTGACATGATCCTTCTAAATGTGAGCAAGGGAACCAGAGGGGTAAATATCAACTTGATATTATTGGGGGGCATGAAAGAGACCAAAACAGTGATTTTCTTGTGTCAATTATCTCACTAGAAATACATTTAAGGAGTTTAGACTCTCAAATTTATAAAAAAATTAAAACAGACACACCCAGGATCTATTTACTTCTAAAGTGCTTTACTGCAGCCACTGAGTTTAGGGTTTGTAGGAGAGAAGAGTCAGGAGCACATTATGAAATGCGAGAATTGCAGCCTCTGTAGTAACCTGGTTGCCCAACAGGTGGCGCAGTCATTCATGCTTCTGCTGTAGCTTGTTAGCTACTTTGAGTCAGGACTGTTATACACTGTGCAGCACAGGGATGTATATGCTGTACTTTAATTTATATACACCTGTGTAGCTGGGGGGTAAATGCAAGTCAATATATGTTAGTTGAAGCATCACACACACCAAAGAACAAACAAATATAAGAAAACATACTTTGTGGCATTGTACAGTACATACATAGAAATTCTGTTCAAACAAAGCGATAACAGTAAAGAGCAATCAAAGCCGCTGATCACACAGAAAATGTACAGACTGATAAAGCATAGAAATCACACAGCATAGAAAATCACACAGAACTCACAGGTCTCACTGCAAGTACAGCACAGAATGGCATTAACTGTCAGTATTAGCTGAGAGCGCCCTCTATAGTAAAAAAATATAGACCGTAAAAAATAAGGGAAAGATAACAATAGGAAAAAGAAAAAAATGAGAATTGAGAAAAACAAAGAAAAGGGGGGAAGGGGTAGAAAAGGAAGGTAACGAGAAAATTAAAGGATAAATGAAAAGTGAAAAGGTAAATAAAAGAGGAAAGGGGAAGAGAAAGAAAAAGGGGTAAGAAAGGAAAGGGAGAGGGTAGGAGAAAGGGAAAGGGTAGGAGAAAGGGAAAGGGTAGGAGAAAGGGTAGGAGAAAGGGAAAGGAAAGAGAAAGGGAAAGGAAAGAGAGAAAGAGAAAGGGGAGAGAAAGGAGAAAGGGAAAGGAAAGAGAAAGGGAAAGGAAAGAGAAAGGGAAAGGAAAGAGAAAGGGAAAGGAAAGAGAAAGGGAAAGGAAAGAGAAAGGGTAGGAGAAAGGGAAAGGAAAGAGAAAGGGTAGGAGAAAGGGTAGGAGAAAGGGAAAGGGTAGGAGAAAGGGAAAGGGGAGGAGAAAGGGAAAGGGTAGGAGAAAGGGAAAGGGTAGGAGAAAGGGAAAGGGTAGGAGAAAGGGTAAGAGAAAGTGAAAAGGGTAAGAGAAAGGGAAAAGGGTAAGAGAAAGGGAAAAGGGTAAGAGAAAGGGAAAAGGGTAAGAGAAAGGGAAGGAGAAAGGGAAAGAACAATGGAAAGCTAAAAAGGGAAAGACTAAGAGAAAGGGGGAAAAAGAAACAGGTGGAGAGAACAGATAAGAGAAAGTGAAAAGGTAAGAGAAGGGAAAATTCAAAGAAACAGGGAGGTAAATAAAAATATAAAAGGGTAAGAGATGAGGAGCAAGAACGGGAAAGGTAAGAGAAAGTTTAAGGGAAATGGAAAGAGAAAGATAAATGGTAAGAGAAAGGAAAAATAAAGGGGAAGGGAAAAATAAAGGGGAAGGGAAAGACAAATGGAAAGGGTAGAATAATGGTAAGAGAAAGGAAAAGATGAAGGGGAAGAGAAGGAAAAGGGTAAAGAGTAAGTGAAAATAAAAAAGAAAGGATAAGAAAAAGGGAAAGAGTAAGAGAAACAGAAAGAGTAAGAGAAGGGGACATTTCAAAGAAATAGGAGGAAATATAGAAAGAGAAAGACAAAAGTAAAGGGTAAGAGATGGGGATCAAGAAAGGGAAAGGTAAGAGAAAGTATAAGAGAAATGGAAGGAGAAAGTGAAATAAGAGAAAGGGTAAGAAAAGGGAATGACAAAGGCAAACAGAATGATAAATGGTAAGGGAAATTTAAAGAGAACATGAAAGAAAAAAGGAAAGTAAAAGAGAAAGAGACGGGAATATAGAAAGGGAAAGAAAATAAAAAGGAAAGAGGAAGGGAAGGAGAAAGGGAAGGGTGAAGGAGACCGGAAGTGGAATGGGAAATAGAAAGATAAAGGAGAGAGGAAAGAAAATGAATGCGAAAGTTAAAAGGAAAAAATTAAAACAAAAAGATATGAATGAGGAAGGAAAGGAGAAAAATAAAATGATAGAAAATCATGATTTTATGAAACAAGGCATGGGGGGAGGGGGGGCTCCACCTAGAATAAGAGCTCGCTGTAAGAGACATGTGGCGCGGAGGAATAAAACCATCTTAACACAAATTGTCATGGAAACCAATTGAACCTGTGTGTAAAGCTCTTCTTATTTTTATAGAATGTATAATAGGCCTCGGATACAAAAGTGTTTTTATTGTGAGTGCACTAATGGAAACCTCCTACAGAGAGGAATAGATGGAAACCGATTCAGAGGCAGGCGGATGCCCGGTGATGGGGGGCTGGAGCCTGTCAAGGAAGATCCTTTTAACTGCATCACGGTGCGTAAAATAATTAGACCTGGAGCTGTCCAGCGCTTGTGATGTTCAAGCCACGCCGTGCTGGGACTTGTAGTTGCTGAGTGGAGGGAGGGCCCTGGCCTGCTGGGTCTTTTCTTGTAGCCCCTGTCAACCAATCAGTTTCTTGACAAAGGCCGGGAGATTTGCAGCTGTGCGTTCTTACACACACCGTTTTATGAACTGCATCGCTCTGAAGCTTCCGGAAGCACACGCAGTTCCTATCAGAAGTTTAAAAGGCGCCATTTTATTGAGTGACGCAGAAGACAAAACATAACCGCCACGTACAAGACTACAAATGCCACAGATATGTTTACTTATGCACACAGAATACTTTTGTGTAACCGGCAACATACAGAGCAGACAATCGCCTCTTTCCACGCGGGCGGTCACCAGGAATATTAGAACATTTTTATGCTTGCAAGCCATAAATAACAGACCATGAGCGCTGCGGAGCTGCGAGGAGCCCCTTGACCTACGCACGACAAAAATGCCAGATGGCGTTCAACAGTAAGTTCACACTAAACCGTCACATAACCGAGAAGCACAGAGAGAGCTCAGCGGCACACTTAAAGCACGCCAAGGATGCTGGTACCTATCGTGTTCACGTGGGCCTGTGGCTCCATGTTCGCGGGGACGTCTGAGAAACGGCGTGAGGCTGCAAGAGAAAAAAACCAAGGCCCCAGAACGGGGCGTCATGTGATTTAAAAGCAGTAAAGGCCAAGACGTTCTATGTGGTTCCTGCAGAAGTGCTCATTTCTTTATATTAAAGGGTGCGTCCACCCTAAACCAACACAACATTTTTGGGTAGAGGCTGACTGGGTCGAATTTTGCGCCTGCTTCTTACAGGCCAATTCTCTTCCACCCACCTGACTTTGGCCTTGAGACCTTCTGCTGATCTCTTTGCGGGACTGTAAGGGCCGAGGGAGGAGGGTGGAGTCGGGAACACAGGAGCTTGCGGCAAAGAATGCACAAAAAACTCCGCCAGCATCCACCCAAAATGAACACAGCGCCCTTTCTTTTTCCAAGTTGTGCACATTTCCAATATTGAATATAAAAAGTTTCAAATCTATTCTCAAGATATTAAGAAATAAAACCTTGCCAACATTTTATCATGAACATGACATTTTGTGACTGGAC